GTTACGTATAGTTCATATCCTTCCCTGTCTCCGTTTCATTGCAGTATCTGGCATCTTTGCATCTTTCCGAAGCTGATGTATCTACTTTGTTCCAAGGCATTCAGTTCTTGCCATTGGATCCACATTCGTTTTTGAAAATACATTGTCTAGTCAATTCGGTGGAAGAAGTGTTCCCGGGTATTGTTCGTTCCATATTTTTCTACGACGATTTTCTAGTGTGGTAAGTTGAACTTCCGAAGTCCGGTACACATGATTTCAGATTTTCTCAAAACTTAACGCATCCCCTTGAATTTTCCTTCAAGATTCACGCCGTTGTTTATACTTCCTCTAGACTTCGAAAAGAAAAAGAGAAGCACAGTATCCAAGAGACGTATTTCCGTTGTTCAAACGCTGTTCTAGAGCGAAACCGTAGATAATCATGTTCAGGATGACCTTCCAAGTTTTGTTAACTTGTAGACTTGACTTTCGGTTTCCATGTTCCACTGGGGTTTTTTTTTTTATTGCACGTCGCCGAAATGTCATCCAAGGGCTTATTTTTATAAGGACGATTAGACTTCGCTTTGTGGAAGTGGAAAAAAATGTGAGGGTACTTAAATTGTGTTGAAATTTGCGATGATTGAGCTTTCTTGTTTTGTAAAAATGGTTTGGGTTAGCAACACACTTGAAAAGTTGAAATTCTTGTCAATCTTCTGGGAATGATCGTGGATTTTCACTTCGTGCTTATTTTTTAAAATGCTGGCTGATGAACAGGAGCGGTTTGGAAATGGAGGATATGCAAGTGATGTATCGGTATCTGACAACAGGCCTGTTTCCTTCAGCCGGACGAGCTCACGAAGCTGCTGGCTATTTAGGACCAGCTTTGGCAGCACCCAAAGGATTGTAAGCGATTGAAGGCATTCGGTTTTTTTTTTAAATCGTATTTTCTGCAACTGGGTTTTGCGTTAGTTTCATGACGGGACCGAGTGATTTGTCCAATGCTGATAATCTTGGGAAGATCCCCCGAGTCATTGTGAGAGACATTGGGAAAGGACCCGATTTTCCACCCGAAGAAGACCCCGGAGGAAAATACGGAGAGGAACATCAGTTGATTGTTTACCGAGCAAAAGATACGACCATTTGTTTCCTCTTTGAAGGTATGTTCCGTTGTCGCATAATACTGTACAGTAGAATCTCGTTACAGGAAATACATTTTTGGTGCTGCAAAATTTTTCTCAATCCTGGCAGAAAGCCCATGGTGTGCATCTTGAAGCAATCTTGTTGCAACAAACTTCTCGATTCCAGTACAACAAACTTTTTGACGATTGTTTAATAGATTCTCAGGGTAGAAATTTCCTCACTGAGGTAGGCACAGTCTGGGATTTCCAATCCCAAATGTGACTGACTAATTCTCGTAGCATCTATGGAAGCTGTAATCAATGACAAACGTGCGAAGTGGTGCCACGCATCATCCTCCCAAATTCAAAAGATTGGTGCGACTGATGGAATGCATGATTCAAGCTTTTTTT